GTGTACCGGCAGTCCCAGAACGGAGGACTGACATGTGCAGAGGTATAGAAACATGCCATCATAGAACAATGTAGAAACTTGAGAGCAATACAGAACAGAACAAGTAGAGCCACAGAAGGATGAAAGAGAGGCCGTGGCCAGGTTATGTCCACCTCTGTGCACTCTCTACTTAAAGAAGTGAGAGCCTTTCTAGAATCCTACTCTTTATGTCAAGTATTTATAATTTTCATTTTTTGCCATTCCCAGTTTGTAAAACCTGAACAGTTTTAAAACCTAGCAACTCGGCACTACAAGGGGAAAGAGGCCTTGTGCATTGAATTGGTTTCCAAGACGGAGGATATCTATTTACAATTTAAATTTGATGCTAGAACAGTTGGCATCAAGGACTCGGAGCAAGGGAGTTAAAACCAGAACGTCTTTCTCTTCTATTTTATCTTTTAATTGTGTTTATGCTTGGGTGAACTATACTAGGATGGAGGAGGAAAAAAAAAAAAAAGAACTCCTCCCCCAATGAAAAGGACCACCTTGAATAAACACAAACTCTCCTCACAGAGCTAAGGATGTAACTGCCCAAGGCCTTGTTCTTCTGCACCCACCCAGACCCCTCCTCTAAAAAGTGTATTTCACCTTAGCCTTCCCTGGATGGCAGGGGTCATTGCCTGCTCACAGAGGCAGCCACAGTGATGAACAGAGCTAGCCCTGCCTCCTCGGTTACTTTCCCAGACATGATTGGACGTTTAATAGGGTACTAGGACCCTGGCATGATGTACTAGATGGCATCAACTCTGACCACTCGGATATCCATTCTAACACATCAGTGCCAGAGATGGATCGGTTGCTAAATATCTTCACAATCACCCCTGCTCTGGATGCGTGGATACAATCAGGGAAGTCTGATTCAGTTGCCATTGGAGTCTAGTTTCCAAGAGATTGAGAGAACTATCACCTCCAGAAGATTTAGCCCACAGTCTGCCTGACCTCTGGCCTATGCAGACCTAAGGTCAAGTACTAAGTGTTTCATTACTAGCAAATTAACTCACAACTTCAGTTTCCTTCTTGATAAACTAGGGGAGCAGCACTACCCAGGAAATGGGTAGAGTGATGGGTCAGTGAACTGATGCTTCAAGGTAGTCAGCATGGGCCTGGTACACAGTAGCTCAATGAACAGTCATTATTGGTGCCACTGGTTGCTTGGCATTGGGGTACCACGAGGATAGAATATGTTAATGTCTTGGACAACTAAGAATAGCTCTCAGCTCACGAGTACTCAGTTCATGCTAAGCATCATTATCATCCCCCTTAGGGCCAAGAGTGGGATTATTGAGATCACCAGCTACTCATTCATCTTTTAAACAGAGTTCTATAGTGCTCTTATGATTATAACGGTCATCTGTTGACTATAGTATTGGATGACAAAGGTGGAGATCTGTGTAAGGCTGCCTTACGTGGAAGCAATCAGGGTACAGCTTAGATATTTTATATTACATCAAGCTAAGCATAACTAATAACACAGGGAGGTGTTTCTAGAGGAGGAGCCCTCTGTGGCCTGAGGACCTCCACCTTGCCTAAGGATGTTGTGTGCCTACCTGCGCCGGACTGGGAAAATTCATACTTCCTGAATGACTTCTGTGGGCCAGTTGTGAGGACAATGTGGTAGATATAACAACCATGAGCCTAGGTGACAACCAGAATGACTCAGTTTACCTAGTAGGTGTGTCAAAGCTGCAACCCACAGGCACCATGCACACCCAAGGAGCTATGAATGTAGTCCAAGACAAAATTGTAAACTTATTTAAAATACCCTAAGTTTTTATTTTGCAAGTTCTTTTTGGTAACTAGACAGCATATTGTAGACTTTGCAGATGATAATGTCATGTCACGCTATCTAAAGGTTGAACATGCCTGATACAACACGGGCCAACTCTTGTTAAAGCTCAGGAGGTGTTCAGGGTAGGTATGTGGCTGCTTCACGAAAGCCCCACTCAATTGCTGACTGAGAACTTGAATGTACTCCTTGCTCTCAGGCAGGCCTCCTCAGGTGCTTTGCAGAGAATTTGTCTTTTTATGTGTTTTCCTTTTTCGTACAGTCCCAGCTGAATGAGAACAAGAGTGTCAGGAATGGAACTTTGAAGAGACTCCCTCAGAAAAAGAGATGTCTCTCAGATAAGGCCTCTAAAAGAGAGCTTTACCCCTGGTAAGTTAGGACCATGGAGGCCACCAACCTGAAATCTCATTTTCTAACAAAGAATTGAAGATTTTGGAAAAATGGGTTTCCGGGCTGTGTGTGTGTGAGATTTACTTGCTTCTTTCACTGTTTATCCCTTAATCCTTGGAAAACCTATCCCTAATGTCCTTCTGTCTGTCTTTCTTGCCTAACCACCAGATTTCAGGATCCCACTGTCTACTGCCTTCCAGAACACCTTCCCCTTTTTTTTTTTTGACAGGACCACAGTTCTCTCTGTGGGTGATTCGTTATCCTTTCTAGCACAGGTAGCAAGAACTGGTATAAGAGCACTGTGGTCCTGAGTAGGATTCCAGACCATCCTGAAAAGCACAGGGCGAGGGAGACAGAGTGCTCTTGACACCCCTCCCTCCCAGCCTCTGTGCTGGGTCATTTAGCCACACCAAGCCCTTGCTATTCACATCTGAGGTGTTTCCAAGGACTAATGACTGTTAAAACCTCACTCCTTAGCTGAAAGATGGACGAGTGGGATTCCCAGGCTCCCTACCCCAGATTGTTCTTTCCTTCTCCATGCAAAGGCAATGTAAGTCTACCCCCCCTGCCCCCCCGCCACCCTGTATTAAACATAGACGGGGCTGGCTGCAAATGGAACTAGGCTATTGATACCAATCACGTGGCAGAGACAGCACAGGCCCAAGGTAACTACATCAAACCAGGAGAAAGTGGTGATGACTGACCAAGCCCCATCAGCCAGAGTGCCCAGAGAAGGTGTGACGACCCATGTCAGTGTGGGCTGGGTGACAATTTTCTTCCTAGGATCAGTCCAGGTAAGGGGGCAGAAGAAAAAGAATCGGGATCCCAGGTGAGACATGTCACAGAGACCATGCTCACAGCATCCAGCTCCGAGTTTTCAATACACACTCTATAGGTCAATGCCCCTCTGGAAACTCCTGATTGCCTGCTGGAAGAATTTGACTGTGGAAAGCAGAGGCTTCAAAATGCCTTTGGCAGGAGAGGGAGACACTATGTGTAACTGAGCTTCTCATTACATTTTAAAAATTAAAAGTCCCTGGCCAATAGAAGATGCCCAGTAAAAAAGTACAGCAAATGGATGAGCAAGGGTGCTTGCTCATGGAAGCAGCAGCAGCAACGTGTTTTTATAACTGAACAAGTGGGCATCTGGAGTCCTTCCTTTTCTCACTGTCAAAGGTCACCCTGTGATCTGGGCCAGGCAGAAACCCGGGAGCGCAGGAGGCCCGTCTTTCCGTCACTGTGTCTTTCATCGTCCCAGAATGTGACTTCACCAATTTCTGTTGCGACCTGTGGTTCTCTGACCACACACCAGGAGAGCAGCTATGGAAAAGTAGCCTGTTCCTGTCTGTGTGTAGGAGCTGGCAGCACATAGTGTATTGACTGAACAGTTGTGAAAGTTCTCGGAGTTCTTGGGGAAACCGAGGATGAGGAGAATGACGCAGACAGGGGCTCTTGAAGCATAATGGAGTCCACAGGGTGAATTTTGAGTTACAGAGAGGGGCAGTGTCAGAGTGAAAGCAAAAAGCAGGAAGAGACACCTGCCTACAGGTTAGGGTCCCTACGGCTTCAGCATCTTGGATTCTGGACGCTCTCTGTTTTGGAGGGGCCTGACAGCATGGCGCATCCTCTGTTCTTGTGGATAATGAAGTTGGACAAAGGAGGGGCGCACGCAGCACGGGACGCTTGTATACCTGGCTTCTCACAAATCCCACAGAGGGTCAGATTCACCCCCGGCCCTTTCTGAGACCTCACCCTTTTCCTGGAAGCGGTGGCTACCTTAGAGCCCTGCTGCCTACATGCCCACGCTTTGGAGGCTCCGGACGGGGGTCGGGTTCCGCATGCAGAAGTCTGTAGGGCCGGGCGCCAGCCTCAGCCCATGGGACACCTTGATGGTACGTCAGGCTCCTTTAGAGGGCGTATTCCAAGAAGTCCCGAACCCGGAGCAGCTCGAGGTTGTGGTCCCGCCCACCTCTGAAGAGATGGGGACTAGCTGAGATCGCGCGCTCCTGGGAACCCTGAAACCCACCGGGCGGCGTAGGAGACTTTCAGGCAGGGTCTCTGGCGCTCTGTGCCTACTGTGAACACACAGCAACCTAGGGTCGCCTGGGGCGTCGCTGAACATTCAAAGCCAGCAGAGAGCCCGGGTCTCCAGCCCCGCGCGCCACACCTTGAGTAGTGCTAACCCCCTACGCCGGGATCCTGGGCTGGCCGGCGGGAGGCGTGAGTGCGTACCCGTGTGTGTAGAGCACATTCCCCTTCCTCGGAGTCGGTGCAGAGTCTCCCTTACTCAGCTCCCGCCAGGGGATTCCCCTCCCCCAGCTCAGAGATCCCCGCGCGCCCCCTGCCCACTTTGCCAAGGCGAGAAAGCGGCCGAGCCGGAGACAAAGAAACTCCTGCCTCCCTCCACTCTCCGTCCTTCTACCCGCCCGAGACACTCCCCGGCGCCCTCCCTCGACCCCGGCGACACCGCGCGCGCACACGCCAGGGGAAGGGACCGGGGGACAGGGAGCAGGGTGGGTGAGTCCGCTTTCCCCACGCCGCGCGGTTACAGCCGCCCGTACACTCCGCCCGGGGACACCCCTCGGCAGCCGCGCCCCCCATCATCCACTCCCCAAAGCGTCCCGAGCCCCTGACACTGCCATCCCCAGCCCAAACCGCCCGCACCATCCCTCCAGCGGAGCGACAGGGGGGCGCGGCGCACACAAAGCGGATGGGGAGCGCGGAGCCCGCGGGGAGGAAGAGATCCCGCCGGGGCTCGCGGCACCGGCCCGGGGCGGCTATTTACCCGATTTCTTCTTCGATCTCCGAGATGTCTGCGAAGATGAGGAAGACCACAAGCAGCGTGAGCGCGGCCAGCATCCAGCTCCGGAACTGCAGCTGCATGGTGGGGTCGGCGCCCTCCGGGACCCGCGCGCGGGCCGGGGCGAGGAGCTGGGGCTGGAGGAGCCTCCGCGCTCCGCGCGCAGCGGGGCACACACCCTGCACTCTGGGCGAGTCCGGGCCGGCGGCGGCCGAGGCGACAGCGGCAGCGACAGACAGGGGTTGCTCAGGCGCGGCGAGCCCGCTCGCTCTCTCTCTCTCTCTCCTGCCCGCCCCTCCCCTCTCCTCCCTCCTCCTCTTCTCCCCTCCCTTCCCCCCGCCCCGCACCGGGCTCCCGGCGCAGTTTGACAGCTTTGCTCCGCGCCTCGCCTGGCCTCCTCCCACTAACTCCAGCGGCCAGCCAGCTGCCTTGGCGGTTCCCACCCGGGAGGGCTCAGGGAGCCCGCCACTCCCGGCCTAGGCAGGCTGGGCTTGGGCTATCGAAAGCGACCCGGAGAGTGAGCTGAGCCCGGGGGGGGGGGGGGGGGGGGCAACTCGGAGCACCGGGGCTGGCTGGCAAACGCCCTCCGTCGCCTTCTCTTTGTCCAGCGCCCTCGCTTCCTCTCAAAGTTTTCCCGACACAAAGACTGACACCTGGGGACGGTCTCCAGCGCGCGGCGAGGAGGCGGTTTCCTCTGGGCTGTTTCAGCAGTTGGCGAATTGAGAGGGGAAGTGGAAGAGAGGAGGGAAGAAGAAATGGCTAAGACAGGCCCAACTTCAGCAGAGATGCTCATGGCAATTTGTGGGCGAGGTACTCAGCCTGCAAAACACCACCTCCTCTATGGCGCGGTCATCTCTGTCCATTTATAGACCCAAGCCTGGGAGCCTGGAGGTCCCGAGTTGTTTGATGTCATGGCTAGAACCCTCGGATCCCGGTGTAGTACCTGTTCTACCTCCAACAGCAGGCATAGTGCGCACATTGTGGCTGATGCCGCACGGGCTTCATCTCCCTAGCTCTTGCTCTTTTCTGGTCTAATCAATAACCCCCTGGAGTCCTATCATGATCAAAAGGCCTTCTAGAAAAATGCGGTTCCCACAAAGGAAGATGCCCCTTCCCCCACCCTATACCGGACGGTTTCCCTGATTCAGACACTTCAGCTGGTGTTACATTAAGTGAGAAGGACCCACTCATTAAGTTTTACTAGAATTAGATTACACACACACACACACACACACACACACACACACACACACACACACACACGGCCCTGGCAGCAGTTGTCTTTTCCTCAGAGAAGGGTTGTGCCCCTTCCACAGTACTTCATTGCTTTCCCGCCCCCCTGGCCATCATCATGCACGTCTGTTTCCTTTACAATAAGTCCCTAAGAGTAGCACACTTTTTTTTTCAGCAGTGACTTTCTGATGCTGAGCACCATGTTGAAATCACTCTCTTTGTCCATTACAAACAGGGACAAGACATCAGAAGAGGGAATCTCAGAGCTGAGGAGGTGGCACAGTCAGCAACCAGCTTAGTGCACATGAAGCATCTGACCTGACTTTGGATACCCAGCACCCAAATGCACAGCTATACCAAATAAGAGTGATGTGCATCTCTAACTCCAGTGCCGAGGGGTAAGGGCAGAAACAGGCAGGTCCCTGGGGCTTGCTGGTCAGCCAGTATAGCGGACTTGGCAAGCTCCAGGTTCAGTGAGAGACTGTCTCAAAAACTAAGGTAGAGCATTACTGAGGAAGACAGCCAGCATCAACCTTTGGACTCCAGACACACATACATGCATGTGTGTGTGCACTTACAATACATTGTACGCACATGAACACGAACAATCCAATACACACACACACACACACACACACACACACACACACACATTCACACCTACTTTTTCTTTCCTGTCAGCATGACCATTGATGTGGTCTAATTTTCTAAGTGCCGTTTTCTTCTTGGGATTTGATGGGTCATTCAGGAGGTGTGTGTTCTCGGTAACATCTTGTTTTTCTCCATTTGCTTCGTCCACTCAGCAGTGTTTATTGAGCAGCTATCTTGTGCCAGATTCTGTGCTAGAGACCAGAGATAACAGAGTCATATCATTTCCAGCCCTCTAGTAGCCCTCTGTTCAGAAGGAAGGCCGACATTCCAGTGTCTGATTATGGCATAGGATATGAGCTACAGTGGAGTTGTGATCTCCTACTTGTAATTGATCAATAAGATCACTGCAAAGAGCAAAAAGAAACCAGCTTGGCCTCTGTCTCCCCTGCTCTGTGCCTTTCCTCCAGCTATACCTTTTGTTTCTCTCTCTCTCTCTCTCTCTCTCTCTCTCTCTCTCTCTCTCTCTCTCTCTGTATACACATGTATGTATGTGGAGGTCTGAGGTTGGGAATCACCTCTGATGAATCTTCCATTTTATGTGATGAGGCAGGGTCTCCCAATCAAACCCCAAGGTCACCAATAGCGAGCCTTGCTAGCCAGCTTGTCCTGAGAATCCCTGACTCTGCTGTCCAAGGCTGCAATCATGGAAGGGCTCCTGTACCCCCTGGCATTTATGTGGGTTCTGAGGATCCCAACTCCAGTCCTCACACTTGCACAGTAAATGCCTTAACCGCTGAGCCATCTCTCCAGTCCCCAATGATACTCCTTATGGTGACAGAATGTCATGAAGTAGTACCATGATGCTCATCTCGTCAGTTCAGGTTGCCTCACTGCTTTAAATACTACTATAGTGTATTTAAATACTACTATAGTGTATTTAAATACTACTATGGTGTATTTAAATACTACTGTAGTGTACACTATAGTGACTCTGCTGTCCAAGACTGTAATCATGGAAGGGCTCCTATACCCCCTGGCATTTATGTGGGCTCTGAGGATCCCAACTCCAGTTCTCACACTTGCACAGTAAATGCCTTAACCGCTGAGCCATCTCTCCAGTCCCCAATGATACTCCTTATGGTGACAGAAGGTCATGAAGTAGTACCATGATGCTCATCTCGTCAGTTCAGGGAGCCTCACTGCTTTAAATACTACTATAGTGGAGGCTTTCCGTTTTCTGTTTGGTGACTCATGTTCTCATTCCAGGCTCAGCAGTGTTCTTTCTTTGCATACTCTAGAAAGGAACCATTCTGAGTGACCAGTAAGCCACAGAAACTTACACCAACACCATTCCTTATAGAGAAATTCATGTGCCCAGGCCCTTGGAGAAGGCTTCCAGGTAATGTCTACCAGAGAAAAAGAACTTAACAGTGTAGAGACTCTCCCCTTCCAATGAGGCATTGAGGTGGGATTTGGCTTAGAGTGTGGTAGGGACTCTTATGACCACTCACCATAGAATATTATTTAAGGCAACTTAGGCACTCTTCTTCAGCCAGTGGCCTTAACAGTGACCTGTGCATACCTACTGCCCTTGTTGTCTCTGAAACTCGAGTTCATTCCTGGAATTTGGAATGAGACTGATTAGATTGGAAGCAAGTGTAAATAGCTACTGTCTTAGTTAGGGTTTCTATTGCTGCGATGAAACACCATGACCAAAAGCAAGTTGGGGAGGAAAGGGTTTATTTGGCCTACACTTCCACATTGTAGTGTACCATTGAAGGAAGTCAGGACAGGAACTCAAACAGGGCAGGAACCTGGAGGCAGGAGTTGATGTAGAGGCCATGGAGGGGTGCTACTTACTGGCTTGCTTATCATGACTTGCTCAGCCTGCTTTCTTATAGAACCAAGGACCACCAGCTCAGGGATGGCCCTACCCACAATGGGCTGGGCCCTTCCCCCAATTAAGAAAATGCCCTACATCTGGATCTTACGGAGGCATTTTTCCCAGTTGAGGTTCCTGCCTTTCAACTGACTCTAGCTTGTGTCAAGCTGACATAAAACTAGCCAGCACAGTAACACAGGCACATGCTTGGTTTGACATGCCGATCGCTTCTCTCCTTCCATCTTGTTTAAGCAAGTCCCCTTTCCTGCATTGGATTTCTCAGGAAACCGGGATGTCCGACCACAATCATTTCTTTAGGCCAAGTCACTGAATGCTTGGGTTAAAATGCGGGACTTAATATGGGAGTGTCAGCAAATTAAAAGTCATTACCACTCATTAACATTTTAATTCGAATTAATAGAGTGTATTAGCTGTTCCAGCAACTCAAAGGGGCTCGGAAAGTTTGTATTCGTGAGGGAGAGCATAGGAGGAGGCCATGCACACAGCAGTCAGACGGTCCTTCTTTGTTACCCTTCAGGCTGAGGATTGGATTGTCCTTTGAGATGCCACTCACAAGAGGTGGAACTCACCCAGAGCTGGAGTTCATGAACCTTCTTCAACTTTACCGTCCCTTATCTAAGTAACCCCATCAATACAGTCAGCTATGCAGAATTGTCACTCAAACTACTACACTGATAATAATTTGCCAACACACTGCCTGGGGCGAAGGGACGTGTCAGATGGGGGCAGGAGTGTTCAGTAACACACTGACGTTCATGCGCACGTGTCACTCCAAGGCAGGCTGAGCAGTATTTCTCTTAGTTCTCTCAGACTCTGCCTTTCATACACATAGTGTCATCTCCATTTTGCACCAGACAAACTGAGGCTCAGAGATGCTAAACTACCTAAGTGGCTCAGTTGGTGGAGGGAATTCTGATTCAGATACTTCCGCCAGCCATGATCCCAGGAATGCCAAGGCTCCCCCAGAACTCTGGCAGTTCTAAATCTACTTGTATACAGCATTTCCTTCATTTGTATTGTATCTCCTTAGTTCTGCTGTGTAGGCGCGTGGGGAGCAAATCCATCTTCACTTCTGCATAGCCTCCATCATCGATGAGACAGTAACCATAAATCTCCAGTTTTGTCTTTCCACATGGAAAAGTCCTTTCAATCATTATAGAATAAATAGTGATTATCCCAAATTCGAACCTTGTACCTAACACCCTTGTAGCCACAAAACATCGATAGTCTTGCTTGTTCATTATCTCTGAAAGGGGGGGGGGGGAGAGAGAGAGAGAGAGAGAGAGAGAGAGAGAGAGAGAGAGAGAGAGAGAAAGAGAGAGAGAGAGGGGAGAATCGAGAGACGATAGCATGGGAGGGGCGTGGAAAGAGGCAAGATATCATAGTCTGGGTAGATTAATAAGCTATTGTGTTTCTGCACCTTCAATAACTGAAAGAGCCTGCCTTTTTGTTTGAAATTTACACTACATTTGAGTGTTCTCAAAAAAATGCCACGTTTCCTCCTTCCAAGTCAGAATCAGAGTGGTAACAATATGGAAAAGGGAAGGGGCACATT